CCTCCCTCACTACAGTATGTTCGTATTTGCACTGATTGTTACAGGAAGCCAGCGGCGGAGAAGCAGACTGGGCTGTCCCAATACGATTTCCACCACAGGCCACGTAGCTTGAACATTGAAGGCAAGTGGTGTGTAAGCCCGCCGGAAGTTGGTGCGGTGCTGTAGCTGAATCCCACATTCAGTGTCGGAAGAATTGTCAACGCCTGCTGCAGGAGTTGCTTGTGGTGTAGTGGCTTGGGCAATTGGCATCACTTGTGTTGGGAATGTCGCGCTTGTCCGTTTGTTGATTCGCGTCCTCCTGTTCCGCGTTGCCGCCTGTTAAGGCGTTTTGGTTGGGGACCCAAACGTGATGTTAATGTGGTCCTTCCTTGGCTTGCACAGATACAAGAGTGTGTGTGGAAGGCAAGGTGGAGGTCGTAACTTTGTTGTGAAGGTCGTTTGGTGCTTGGTTGTTTTCGTCACGCCCGCTCAGGCTTTGGTTTCTGTGTGGGCGGCTTGTGACTTTTTGTGGACTCTCGTGTCGGGGTCCCCTCTCGCTGGCCCAGGCTCTTCCGTGCCTGTCGTCTGTGAGCAGGGGCCTCTGCTGGCTTGCCTTGGCTTGGTTTGTGTTCCAGGCTTGGCTTGGTTACTCCCTGTGCTGGTTGACAACATGAGTTGTCTTGCGTTGCCTTCGCTTTACTGCTGGCTGCGCCTTGCACTCATGTCACATGGCCACCCCTCCCTTTTGATGTGAGGGGCCCACAGGTGTCCTGTCCATTTGGGGGCTGCCGGCACCAGAACAAAGTTAGTTAGTTAGCCTGCTGCAGGAGCCTGGTGTCTACAGCAGACTTGCCACCGAAGCGGGGACGGACAAGCCGAAGGATCTCGAAAAGGCTTATACGCCCTCGTCTCCATGAAGCTCTCCGCTGTTCACTGACTTTTGCTTCTGTGCGTAGGTGCCTGTAGGTGCTGCCTGTTGTCAACTTGGTCCGTCTCATCTGCTTGAAAGCAGGAGCTTGAAGCCAGAGACGATGCTCAGGCACCGATGAAGGCCTCTGCTGTGTCCATCAGTGGTCCGAATGCATCACCTAGACCGAGATTCTGCAGCGGCATCTCAACAGCTTCAAGTTTTGGAGGCGGCACCGCGCCGTGGAATACTCGGGGCGTGGTTGGCCGCTGCCTCGCATCCTCCCGCTGCAGCTGATGATGTTCGCTACAGCTCACGGCACGTGTCCGGCCAGGCACCGTGGACAAGCATGTTCCAGCAGGATGAGGAGGTGACGGAACATCCAGTCATTCCTTTGTCTCCGAGTGTTTCGTCATTCTGGGAGTCAGTGATAGCACGTACCTGACACAAAGCTGAACCCTTTCTTGGATCCTAGCGGAGACATGCCTCACAGCTCTCAGATCTTGCAACTGCGCACCCCTATGGCAGGAGGATACCGCATGCGAGGTCTGCACCGAGGCAGAGGCCTCATCCAAGGGCCATAGCCAAAGTGCAGCCCTACTATCTGCGTTTTAGTGCTACTTGTAACTCCACCTTAGGACCTAGACTTCTCCGGGAGGGAAGGTGGCTGTTTGGCACCTTGTGGACACTGCTCGGACACCAATGCAAGAATCCTCAAGCCATCATGCTACCTTCGAAGGACCTTCGACCAAGCTCCGAGCAGCCTTGCCTCGCTGATGCCTTACGTCCCTCTGTGGAATCTGCTGTGGGTGTGGCTATGTGGGAGTTTCCGAAAATAGGGTACCCTAATCTGGTACCCTAAATAGTAGGATCCTTATTATAAGGACCCCCACATGCGGAACTCCTATTTTCGGAAACTCCCATGTCTCCGGGATCACAAGAGTTCGAAGCCGAGTGGACATTTCACACAGACGACGAGCCCCGGACTTACAAGCCGGCCCAGGAACAGACTCCAGCCAAAGCCTCGGGCACTTCTTGTCTCTGCTTGTTTGGCACACATTCGATTTTGCTTGGCCTTGCTGCTTGCCGTGCTGAATGCACATGTAGTGAACAAGGATTGTACGGCGGTACAGGCGAAGCTTTGGCTCTCCGCCACCTGAGCATCTTGCAATCAGCTCCAAGTCTACTGCATCCTACTCGAATCTATGCAAAGGAGTGGGACACAGCACGGGGCAAACGGCCCACCGAGCATGGCATGGCTGCCAAAGCTGCGGCTTCTGCGCTGCGCGCTGCCGCTGAGAGTGGGGATGTCGCGACCTTGCAGCAGCGGCTTTCTGAGGCAGGGCCGCAGGTGTAGCTCAAGTTGACTCATGCTCATTGCGGGAACTTCAGGCTCAGGCTGCGGGCATTTGCGAGAAGATCATCAATTCTCAGGCCCGGCCCAGCCTCAGCGCGAAAGAGTCGGAAGTGATGCCTTGCAAGGATCCAGACACGGATCTCGGAGCCTTGTCCCTGTCCGCCCAGCACGGTGCCGCCGACTGCGTGGCAGTGCTGCTGGCAGCACGCACAGGGCTAAGGTCGGAGAAGAGCCGGTGTCGCAGTACGTCGCAAGGACATAGAGCGGCTGCATTATGCAGCTGGGTGAAGGCTACCATCATACCTTCGCCTCGAAGATATCTCCTGTCGGGAATGAGGTGCTGACGTGAACGCCGACTCAGAGGACACTTGTGCAGTTCGGGTTTCAGAATCCGGGCGCCGTCCTCGCAACAGAGACACAGTGCAAGGGGAGTTGCCACTTTCAGGATGCGGGCGGGCGCACAGCGTTGCATTTCGCAGCCTACGATGGGCACGTGGAGGCATACAGTAGGGATTTGCTATTGGTACATGTGCGGAGCTGAAGGTTTGGCTGAAAACTGAGGTGGTCCGACTTCTAGTCGCAGCCCGAGCAAACACAAATGCGCGCTGCTCAACTGGAGGCGAGGAAGCACCAAAGCACTAGTTGATGTGGCCTGTCGGAAAAATTACTTGTGGTGTCACAGTTTCGTGTTTCGTTAGGCGGCAGGTTTGCTTTGGTCGCTATCGGTCAGCTTCGTTTGCATGTCTGAGCACCGAGACGGCGGCTGCTCTGTATGTAACTACTCTGCTCCACCGTCTGGCCGTATCGTGTCGGCAAGAGTGTCCTACATCTGGGTGGCCTGTCACGTTCTGAAATCGATACATGCCCTGAGAAACCGCGGAGCAGATCGCAGCGCAGAGGCCGATGCTGTTGCTTTGGCCCTTTGGGGACTCTTGCGACTCAAAAAAAGCGCAAAAGCTGCTCCAGGGCCAAAGAGTGGAGAATCGGCGGCGGAGATGGCGAGGAGGCGCGCAAAGTAGTGCACCTGGGACTCCTGGGACCTGGACTTCGGTGTCTTGGTCACAGTCTCCCGCAAGCATGCCCTGCCTTATCGCTGATGCAGGATGTGGCAGCTTTGGACGAGGTTCTCGAAATCCTGCGTGCGTGATCTACGGGACGGACAGTTTCAAGGGCAACACCTAGCCGAAATCCAAGATCAGCTTGGCTGACCGCGTTCGAAAGCTGTTGCTCGTCGTTCTTGTTGCGTTGGCCTCGCTGCGCAAACCAACGCTTCCGATGTGCCGCGGCCCATGCAACAAGACCTGGCCTCAAACACTGGAAGACTGGAAGACGTCCTCCGATTGACAAGAGCTGCAGCAGATGAAAAAAGACTTGCTTTGCAGTGCCCAAACCATGACTGACCTTCTGAATTGTCTGAACCACAACACAAGCTATGTCTCCCTGTCGCCACTTTCCAGGCCAAGCGACGCAAGCGCACATGGTTCGGGTGGTGAGCTGGCGCAATACAACCCTCCAGAATCGAAGAGATGGGTCGTATCCTCGCAGAGCACGAGGTGACAAGGCTTGTCTTTCCGATAGAAGTGCTTTGCCTCCCCAACGCTTGGTGTCGGTAGGGGCCTGCAGATTGCCCTACTACTCCGCCGTAGGCCTTTGACTTTAATTCGATTACCTCGCATCGCTGCACGCGGCATTAGTCGGTGGGCTGCATCCCATGCAAGTTCTTGTACGATTTGTCCATATGTGCTCTTTCAAGAGAGTCTGAGTCATGTATGTTTGGGAATGTCTCTGCCCAACGGTTGCTGCGCGTTGCGTAGCTGGGCAATTCATTGCTGGACGTGACGGGGTGCCTGAGAGCAAAATCAGTTGAAGCTGGCGAATGCCGGTGCATAAATATGAGAACGTTGCCATGGGGCGGTAGTGAAAGTCATGTAATTACCGTGATCTATTCTCGCTGCAGCTGTAAGAAGTGTCAGTTCGTCTGGAATGCTGTGGACTGCAAGATGATGCCTGCTAACAAGGAGCAGGAATGAGGCGAATATAGGCGAATGCAAACCAGTTGAGATCGACGCGCCGGCTGCCTGTGCTCCAAAGACGCCATGTGGTTTGAGACTTTAGCATGATTTAGAATATCCCAGGTTTCAACCTCAGAAAAATGCTGTGCAGAAACTGCATGGAGCAGCTAGCATCAGCATTGCACAACAGCATGGTCGGTTCGGCTCAGCCGAATAGCGAAGACTGCAAGTGCATCAGAGTCGCAGATGATGCGAGGGTGAGCTGCCATGCAATCCGCAAGAATTGCAACTTTACAAAGGACCTGACGTAGTGATTGCAGTAACTAAGATTGCAACCTGCTGCTGCAGCTTGGCAGCACTCTGTCTGTCCGCAAACACAACCTGAGCAAGCTTGTCAAGCTCGGTTCCAGGCGCTTCCGGTGCAGGAAGCAAAACGTGCCCGTCACTTGACTCGAGTGGCATCTTTCGACAGGGCAGTTGCGTGGGCATGTGTGCCAGGAGCTTGATGTCTGGAAGCTGCTCAGAGCCGCGCACACCTCAGAATGCGAGGCAAAGTCAAGCAGGCATGACGAATCTGGGCAGGAGGTGAACTACCATAGTTGTGGACATTCAACTGATACACGGACTAGGCTCAGGGCGGTGTTGCATTATCAAAGAAACTTCAATACCTCCGCCAGCAATTGGCTCCTCCACAACTTGGGTGTTTCTCTCCCGTGCAGTGCCGCATCTGTCCGTGCAGGTGGACATGGCAAACAGCGTGGCTTTCGTAGCGCCTGCCCTCCAAGAAGCGGGGGTTGCAAGGCAGATTCACACTGCACCGGTCTCTCCGAGCCCCAAAGCTTCCAGCACTGGCTATGCTGGCCCCGCCGTGGCCTCGGTGGCTGTGGCTCTGGCTGCACGCACCGTCGGCCGCCAGCGCCGTCGCACATCGGCACGGCAGCAGGTGGCGATGCGTGCCTCAACCCTGGACCAGCTGAAGCAGGTGGGCGGCCGGGAAGGCAGCATTCCTCTGACCAAGTATCGCAATATCGGGATCATGGCCCACATCGATGCTGGAAAGACCACGACGACGGAGCGCATCCTGTACTACACAGGTCGCGAGAAGAACATCGGTGAAGTGCACGAAGGGCAGGCCACCATGGACTGGATGGAGCAGGAGCAGGAGCGAGGAATCACCATCACCAGCGCAGCAACCACGGCTTTCTGGGATGGACACCGAATCAACATCGTGGACACACCAGGTCACGTGGACTTCACCCTGGAGGTGGAACGATCTCTCCGAGTGCTCGACGGTGCCGTGGCTGTTTTCGACGGTGTGGCAGGCGTCGAGCCGCAGAGCGAGACCGTTTGGCGCCAGGCCGACAAGTACAAGGTGCCGCGGATGTGCTTTGTGAACAAGATGGACCGCGAGGGCGCGGACTTCTTCAAGGATGTGCAAATGATGGTGGACCAGCTCGGCACAAATCCTGTCCCCATCCAGCTTCCCATCGGAAAGGGTGCCAGCTTCAAGGGTGTCTTCGATCTGGTGGAGATGAAATCAATGATCTGGACTGGTGGGGAGCTCGGCGCAAAGTTTGACGTGACAGATGAGATCCCGGAGGGCATGGAGGAAGAAGTGGAGAAGTGGCGTGAGAACCTCATTGAGAAGGCTGTGGAGCAGGACGAAGAGGTTCTGGAGGCTTACCTCGAGTCTGGTGAGCCACCATCTCTGGAAGATCTCAAGAAGTGCATCCGCAAAGGAACCCTGTCATTTAGCCTGGTCCCAGTGCTTTGCGGAACCGCCTTCAAGAACAAGGGTGTGCAGCCCCTGCTGGATGCCGTCTGCGACTACCTTCCATCACCAGTCGATCTTCCCCCGACCAAGGGCAAGAACCCTAAGAATGAGGAAGGGTGTTTCAACAGCCGAATGCAGTCTTGAGCGGTTCATTTGAAGCCATGCGTAGCTTGTCCCTACAGGAGGAGGAGATCGAGCGCAAGAACGAGCCAGAGGAGAAGCTCTCCGGCTTGGCCTTCAAGGCCGTTGTTTATGCGAGCTCAGGGTACGGTCAGTGTAGACAGGCACAGCTGAAGTGACGTTAGTGGTGCGCAGCGGTGAAGCGAGTTATGCCTCAGGTGGCGGCGGACCCTTACATCGGCACCCTGACCTTCTACCGCATTTACTCGGGCAAGGTCAAGAGCGGAGAGATGGTTTGGAACCCCAGGACGGTGCAATGGGATGTTGTCTCCACACTGTACGCGTTTTTCAATGTTTTGTTCGATGCTGCCTTGCAGGACTAAGTCCAAGGAGCGCATGGGCCGCATGGTTCTCATGCCTCTTGGCCGACTGTTGTCATCAGCTTTCTCAGAAGGGGTCTCTGCAAGTCTGAGCAGTCTGAACCACGATGCCACTGGAGGCATGCCAACAAGCGCGAGGAAATCAAGGAGGCCCAGGCAGGCGACATCATTGCCGTTGTGGGCCTGAAGGACACCACCACAGGTGACACCCTGTGCGCAGTGGACTCCCCCATCGTGCTGGAGAAGATGGAATTCCCGGAGCCCGTGATTAAGGTCTCCTGTGAGCCGAGCTCGCAGAAGGATGCGGACAAGATGGGTGAGGCGCTTGCCAAGCTGGCAGCTGAAGACCCTTCCTTCCGCTTCAGTCGCGACGAGGAGTCCAATCAAACCGTGATCGAGGGCATGGGTGAGCTGCACCTGGAGATCATCATCGACCGCCTCAAGCGCGAGTTCAAGGTGGAAGCCAACATCGGCAAGCCCCAGGTCGCGTACCGAGAGACGATCACAGAGCCAGTCGAGCTCTGGTACACCCACAAGAAGCAGACGGGTGGTTCGGGCCAGTATGCGAAGCTTTGCATGTCCTTCGAGCCCAACCCTGGTGAGGGCTTCGAGTTCTCCAACGAAATTATCGGCGGAACGGTTCCAAAGGAGTACGTGCCGGCAGTGATCAAGGGCACCGAGGGCGAGCTGATGAACGGCATCCGCATGGGCTTCCCAGTCGTGGACGTCAAGGCCAAACTGAAGGATGGTGGATTCCACCCGGTCGACTCTTCCGCTATTGCTTTCGAGATTGCAGCCCGGGCAATCTTCAAGGAGGGAGCCAGCCAGGCAAAGCCCATTGTCATGGAGCCGATCATGAAGGTCGAGGTCATCACCCCCGAGGAATACATGGGCGGCATCATCGGTGATCTGAACAGCCGTCGAGGCATCATCCAGAATCTCGCGACGCGTGGCAACCTCCACGTTGTGAATGCAAGCGTGCCATTGGCAGAGATGTTCAGCTACATCGCCGAGTTGCGCAACTTGTCCAAAGGCAGAGCCAACTATGCGATGGAGTTCGAGAAGTACGAGTCCGTGCCCGAGAACGTGGCAGAGTCCATCGCAAGCAAGAGCTGAGAGATGCGATGGGCGTTGGGTGTAAATGATGCCAGAGAAGCTAAACCTAAAGGGTGGTGCTTTGCCAGAGTAGTTTGAGTAGTTCTTCTTGGAAGAACTGCCGGTGGAAACAAACACCAGTTAAGCCATGAAACCTCGGTCAAGTTCTTCTTTGAAGAGGTGTAGTTTTCGAGAGATTTTCGGGCATGGCCCACAGAGCGCATTTAGGCGTTAGGGTACGATGCCCAATGGTGGTATGCTTCGTGATATTTCACATTTTCGAATTGGACGGCTACTCGCCCACTAGCGGCTAGCACTCCTCCGCAGAAAGCAGGGGCTCCGCCAGGGTGGATTCTTGCACAGCGGCCAGGGCGCTGGCAGGCCAACACGATGAAGTCCAGAATGTGCAGGTTAGATACAACTCAACTCGAGATCTACGAATCAAGGGACATAACTGACACAACTTCTCACAGTGCAGCAGTGCAGCATGTCCATTTCGTGCCTCTGGTAGCATTTGGCTCCACACTTCCGTCCTGAGCAGTGCCGCATCTGTCCGTGCAGGGTGGACATGGCAAACAGCGTGGCTTTCGTAGCGCCTGCCCTCCAAGAAGCGGGGGTGGCAAGGCAGATTCACACTGCACCGGTCTCTCCGAGCCCCAAAGCTTCCAGCACTGGCTATGCTGGCCCCGCCGTGGCCTCGGTGGCTGTGGCCCTGGCTGCACGCACCGTCGGCCGCCAGCGCCGTCGCACATCGGCACGGCAGCAGGTGGCGATGCGTGCCTCAACCCTGGACCAGCTGAAGCAGGTGGGCGGCCGGGAAGGCAGCATTCCTCTGACCAAGTATCGCAATATCGGGATCATGGCCCACATCGATGCTGGAAAGACCACGACGACGGAGCGTATCCTGTACTATACAGGTCGCGAGAAGAACATCGGTGAAGTGCACGAAGGGCAGGCCACCATGGACTGGATGGAGCAGGAGCAGGAGCGAGGAATCACCATCACCAGCGCAGCAACCACGGCTTTCTGGGATGGACACCGAATCAACATCGTGGACACACCAGGTCACGTGGACTTCACCCTGGAGGTGGAACGATCTCTCCGAGTGCTCGACGGTGCCGTGGCTGTTTTCGACGGTGTGGCAGGCGTCGAGCCGCAGAGCGAGACCGTTTGGCGCCAGGCCGACAAGTACAAGGTGCCGCGGATGTGCTTTGTGAACAAGATGGACCGCGAGGGCGCGGACTTCTTCAAGGATGTGCAAATGATGGTGGACCAGCTCGGCACAAATCCTGTCCCCATCCAGCTTCCCATCGGAAAGGGCGCCAGCTTCAAGGGTGTCTTCGATCTGGTGGAGATGAAATCAATGATCTGGACTGGTGGGGAGCTCGGCGCAAAGTTTGACGTGACAGATGAGATCCCGGAGGGCATGGAGGAAGAAGTGGAGAAGTGGCGTGAGAACCTCATTGAGAAGGCTGTGGAGCAGGACGAAGAGGTTCTGGAGGCTTACCTCGAGTCCGGTGAGCCACCATCTCTGGAAGATCTCAAGAAGTGCATCCGCAAAGGAACCCTGTCATTTAGCCTGGTCCCAGTGCTTTGCGGAACCGCCTTCAAGAACAAGGGTGTGCAGCCCCTGCTGGATGCCGTCTGCGACTACCTTCCATCACCAGTCGATCTTCCCCCGACCAAGGGCAAGAACCCCAAGAACGAGGAAGGGTGTTTCAACAGCAGAATGCAGTTTGAGCGGTTCATTTGAAGCCATGCGTAGCTTATCCCTACAGGAGGAGGAGATCGAGCGCAAGAACGAGCCAGAGGAGAAGCTCTCCGGCTTGGCCTTCAAGGCAGTTGTTTATGCGAGCTCAGGGTACGGTCAGTGTAGACAGGCACAGCTGAAGTGACGTTAGTGGTGCCCAGCGGTGAAGCGAGTTATGCCTCAGGTGGCGGCGGACCCTTACATCGGCACCCTGACCTTCTACCGCATTTACTCAGGCAAGGTCAAGAGCGGAGAGATGGTTTGGAACCCCAGGACGGAGCAATAGGATGACGTCTCCACACTGGTACACTTTTTCAATGTTTTGTTCGATGCTGCCTTGCAGGACTAAGTCCAAGGAGCGCATGGGCCGCATGGTTCTCATGCCTCTTGGCCGACTGTTGTCATCAGCTTTCAGAGTGGTTTCTCAGAAGGTGTCTCTGCAAGTCTGAGCAGTCTGAACCATGATGCCACTGGAGGCATGCCAACAAGCGCGAGGAAATCAAGGAGGCCCAGGCAGGCGACATCATTGCCGTTGTGGGCCTGAAGGACACCACCACAGGTGACACCCTGTGCGCAGTGGACTCCCCCATCGTGCTGGAGAAGATGGAATTCCCGGAGCCCGTGATTAAGGTCTCCTGTGAGCCGAGCTCGCAGAAGGATGCGGACAAGATGGGTGAGGCGCTTGCCAAGCTGGCAGCTGAAGACCCTTCCTTCCGCTTCAGTCGCGACGAGGAGTCCAATCAAACCGTGATCGAGGGCATGGGTGAGCTGCACCTGGAGATCATCATCGACCGCCTCAAGCGCGAGTTCAAGGTGGAAGCCAACATTGGCAAGCCCCAGGTCGCGTACCGAGAGACGATCACGGAGCCAGTCGAGCTCTGGTACACCCACAAGAAGCAGACGGGTGGTTCGGGCCAGTATGCGAAGCTGTGCATGTCCTTCGAGCCCAACCCTGGTGAGGGCTTCGAGTTCTCCAACGAAATTATCGGCGGAACGGTTCCAAAGGAGTACGTGCCGGCAGTGATCAAGGGCACCGAGGGCGAGCTGATGAACGGCATCCGCATGGGCTTCCCAGTCGTGGACGTCAAGGCCAAACTGAAGGATGGTGGATTCCACCCGGTCGACTCTTCCGCTATTGCTTTCGAGATTGCAGCCCGGGCAATCTTCAAGGAGGGAGCCAGCCAGGCAAAGCCCATCGTCATGGAGCCGATCATGAAGGTCGAGGTCATCACCCCCGAGGAATACATGGGCGGCATCATCGGTGATCTGAACAGCCGTCGAGGCATCATCCAGAATCTCGCGACGCGTGGCAACCTCCACGTTGTGAATGCAAGCGTGCCATTGGCAGAGATGTTCAGCTACATCGCCGAGTTGCGCAACTTGTCCAAAGGCCGAGCCAACTATGCGATGGAGTTCGAGAAGTACGAGTCCGTGCCCGAGAACGTGGCAGAGTCCATCGCAAGCAAGAGCTGAGAGATGCGATGGGCGTTGGGTGTAAATGATGCCAGAGAAGCTAAACCTAAAGGGTGGTGCTTTGCCAGAGTAGTTTGAGTAGTTCTTCTTGGAAGAACTGCCGGTGGAAACAAACACCAGTTAAGCCATGAAACCTCGGTCAAGTTCTTCTTTGAAGAGGTGTAGTTTTCGAGAGATTTTCGGGCATGGCCCACAGAGCGCATTTAGGCGTTAGGGTACGATGCCCAATGGTGGTATGCTTCGTGATATTTCACATTTTCGAATTGGACGGCTACTCGCCCACTAGCGGCTAGCACTCCTCCGCAGAAAGCAGGGGCTCCGCCAGGATGGATTCTTGCACAGCGGCCAGGGCGCTGGCAGGCCAACACGATGAAGTCCAGAATGTGCAGGTTAGATACAACTCAACTCGAGATCTACGAATCAAGGGACATAACTGACACAACTTCTCACAGTGCAGCAGTGCAGCATGTCCATTTCGTGCCTCTGGTAGCATTTGGCTCCACACTTCCGTCCTGAGCAGTGCCGCATCTGTCCGTGCAGGGTGGACATGGCAAACAGCGTGGCTTTCGTAGCGCCTGCCCTCCAAGAAGCGGGGGTGGCAAGGCAGATTCACACTGCACCGGTCTCTCCGAGCCCCAAAGCTTCCAGCACTGGCTATGCTGGCCCCGCCGTGGCCTCGGTGGCTGTGGCCCTGGCTGCACGCACCGTCGGCCGCCAGCGCCGTCGCACATCGGCACGGCAGCAGGTGGCGATGCGTGCCTCAACCCTGGACCAGCTGAAGCAGGTGGGCGGCCGGGAAGGCAGCATTCCTCTGACCAAGTATCGCAATATCGGGATCATGGCCCACATCGATGCTGGAAAGACCACGACGACGGAGCGTATCCTGTACTATACAGGTCGCGAGAAGAACATCGGTGAAGTGCACGAAGGGCAGGCCACCATGGACTGGATGGAGCAGGAGCAGGAGCGAGGAATCACCATCACCAGCGCAGCAACCACGGCTTTCTGGGATGGACACCGAATCAACATCGTGGACACACCAGGTCACGTGGACTTCACCCTGGAGGTGGAACGATCTCTCCGAGTGCTCGACGGTGCCGTGGCTGTTTTCGACGGTGTGGCAGGCGTCGAGCCGCAGAGCGAGACCGTTTGGCGCCAGGCCGACAAGTACAAGGTGCCGCGGATGTGCTTTGTGAACAAGATGGACCGCGAGGGCGCGGACTTCTTCAAGGATGTGCAAATGATGGTGGACCAGCTCGGCACAAATCCTGTCCCCATCCAGCTTCCCATCGGAAAGGGCGCCAGCTTCAAGGGTGTCTTCGATCTGGTGGAGATGAAATCAATGATCTGGACTGGTGGGGAGCTCGGCGCAAAGTTTGACGTGACAGATGAGATCCCGGAGGGCATGGAGGAAGAAGTGGAGAAGTGGCGTGAGAACCTCATTGAGAAGGCTGTGGAGCAGGACGAAGAGGTTCTGGAGGCTTACCTCGAGTCCGGTGAGCCACCATCTCTGGAAGATCTCAAGAAGTGCATCCGCAAAGGAACCCTGTCATTTAGCCTGGTGCCAGTGCTTTGCGGAACCGCCTTCAAGAACAAGGGTGTGCAGCCCCTGCTGGATGCCGTCTGCGACTACCTTCCATCACCAGTCGATCTTCCCCCGACCAAGGGCAAGAACCCCAAGAACGAGGAAGGGTGTTTCAACAGCAGAATGCAGTTTGAGCGGTTCATTTGAAGCCATGCGTAGCTTATCCCTACAGGAGGAGGAGATCGAGCGCAAGAACGAGCCAGAGGAGAAGCTCTCCGGCTTGGCCTTCAAGGCAGTTGTTTATGCGAGCTCAGGGTGCGGTCAGTGTAGACAGGCACAGCTGAAGTGACGTTAGTGGTGCCCAGCAGTGAAGCGAGTTATGCCTCAGGTGGCGGCGGACCCTTACATCGGCACCCTGACCTTCTACCGCATTTACTCGGGCAAGGTCAAGAGCGGAGAGATGGTTTGGAACCCCAGGACGGTGCAATAGGATGATGTCTCCACACTGTATATACACTTTTTCAATGTTTCGTTCGATGCTGCCTTGCAGGACTAAGTCCAAGGAGCGCATGGGCCGCATGGTTCTCATGCCTCTTGGCCGACTGTTGTCATCAGCTTTCAGAGTGGTTTCTCAGCAGGTGTCTCTGCAAGTCTGAGCAGTCTGAACCACGACGCCACTGGAGGCATGCCAACAAGCGCGAGGAAATCAAGGAGGCCCAGGCAGGCGACATCATTGCCGTTGTGGGCCTGAAGGACACCACCACAGGTGACACCCTTTGCGCAGTGGACTCCCCCATCGTGCTGGAGAAGATGGAATTCCCGGAGCCCGTGATTAAGGTCTCCTGTGAGCCGAGCTCGCAGAAGGATGCTGACAAGATGGGTGAGGCGCTTGCCAAGCTGGCAGCTGAAGACCCTTCCTTCCGCTTCAGTCGCGACGAGGAGTCCAATCAAACCGTGATCGAGGGCATGGGTGAGCTGCACCTGGAGATCATCATCGACCGCCTCAAGCGCGAGTTCAAGGTGGAAGCCAACATTGGCAAGCCCCAGGTGGCGTACCGAGAGACGATCACAGAGCCAGTCGAGCTTTGGTACACCCACAAGAAGCAGACGGGTGGTTCGGGCCAGTATGCGAAGCTTTGCATGTCCTTCGAGCCCAACCCTGGTGAGGGCTTCGAGTTCTCCAACGAAATTATCGGCGGAACGGTTCCAAAGGAGTACGTGCCGGCAGTGATCAAGGGCACCGAGGGCGAGCTGATGAACGGCATCCGCATGGGCTTCCCAGTCGTGGACGTCAAGGCCAAACTGAAGGATGGTGGATTCCACCCGGTCGACTCTTCCGCTATTGCTTTCGAGATTGCAGCCCGGGCAATCTTCAAGGAGGGAGCCAGCCAGGCAAAGCCCATCGTCATGGAGCCGATCATGAAGGTCGAGGTCATCACCCCCGAGGAGTACATGGGCGGCATCATCGGTGATCTGAACAGCCGTCGAGGCATCATCCAGAATCTCGCGACGCGTGGCAACCTCCACGTTGTGAATGCAAGCGTTCCATTGGCAGAGATGTTCAGCTATATCGCCGAGTTGCGCAACTTGTCCAAAGGCCGAGCCAACTACGCGATGGAGTTCGAGAAGTACGAGTCTGTGCCCGAGAATGTGGCAGAGTCCATCGCAAGCAAGAGCTAAGAGATGCGATGATGGCCGGCTTTAGGCTCTAAAGGACATAGAGCAGGAGCTAAACCCAAAGGGTAGTGTGTTGCTCTCTATATTATATAGCTCTCCCTGGAAGAACCCTGCTGCCATGCTGAACCAGAAGTTGTCACTACGAGTTGTGCTCTGTTCTTCTTGGAAGAGGCAGATCTTCGCGAAATTTTCGGGCATAGGCCGAAGACAGCGTGTTTAAGCGCACGGTTGATTGCCCTGTGGTGGTTTGCAGCTGCTGTGTGACATATTTCACATTTTCGAAGCAGCTTCGCCACGCCGATGACTACTCGCTGCAACGCAATTTGCGCAAAAATCAACCCTGCTCGTCGAGTGCTTGTCTTCCCACAGCGGAGGTCATGTCAATGCTTATACTTTGCATCCAAGGCTGAAGTCGCAGCACTGAAGTCCCGCGAACTGCTTGCGCCGCAGTGAGCCAAAAGGAACCTCGGGATACCGCCGTGGGGATTGACAAAGACGTGCAGAAAGGCGCCAGGTGCGGGAATCGACCGTGAACTTCTGTGGGGTCCTTTGCGGTGCAGTTTCGGTGAGGTTCCCAGGACTCAGGATTCTCTCACCCTTTCTGGGAGAAACTTTTAGTTCATGATGCGCTGCCACGCCTCGGGATCTCAGAGAGACCATCCTTTCTAGCGGAGTGTGGAGGAGCTTTGGAATGTTTCGCACGTACACCGCTAAGTTCCAGGAGTTGCCAGCAGTCCCGCACTGTCAGCACAGCAATGCCATGACAAAGACACCGGCGCAGCACCGCTTCGTCGCCGAGGATGGCGACCAGACTCGGCCGCACAGGAACCACATAAGTGCAGAAGTACCGCCACGTTCAACTGAAGCTGCTGCCATGTCGCTCTACGTTTCCATTGACGGCACCGAGCATGTCGCCAGCATCGAAGGGCAGCACATCAACAGTGCCCTTTGGCTTGTGGTGAAGGAAGTACTGACACGCAATGGTACAAGCATGTGCGTGTGTATCCTTGGGAAGCAATAAGTCCAATAAGTGCTTAGAGATTGAAGCGGCAGCTGCTTCAACTCATGCCTGCGAAACGATTGCTGTTGTATTATCTGAGGATGAGCCGCGCTTGGAGGCAAGGAAGCTCAATCACCTCCTTATGCGTCGTGCAGGTGCCAGCGACTCAGCGCTGTGTATGTTCATTTTGTTTCCCTGTTGCAGCAAGACACTACATCATCGCCTCATACTTCTTGTTTCTCGTTACATGTCCTGCATCCACATGCGACCATCTTTTTCAGAGCTGGTCATGATACGACTTCACGTTTGCAAGTGCCACGTCTGCATTCGTGCTGCAAGGTCTATTTCACTCGATCACGCCTCAGTTTCTCAATTAGAATGCATGCTTTCATGAAAGGGCACAGGTGGTGGCCGGAGACCCTCCAGAGACCTTGTAGCATGTCTCGTGCCTTGCTCTACCACATCCGGCACATCCGGTTTGGACATCGAATCCGTCACAGGTCCAGGATGTCTCACAGCTGAGTGTCGAGTTGCCACATTGTGGGCGGCGTGCGTTGAGCCTCCCCGAAGTGTCGTCTTCTAGGAATGGACTTGCAGTTCGTGCCGGAGGCTCCCGCATCGCGATAGCCAAAGGAAGCGACACTATACGAGTCCAAGTGAGCGTGTCCGAAACTGTCGATTGAGCCGGAATGTTGCTATGCTTGGTTTGCTAGTTGTCACGAGCGGTATTGATTCGGTACTGATTCTTGATGGGATCGTGGATCTCCATAACGGCCTGGACGCAGAAACCAAGCGCACGCAGCACCACAAGCACTTTTCAACGGCCAAGTGCCGAGCGAGACCTTGACAGGTCAAGAAGGCCTTGCTCACAACTGTGCCTGGAGGTCTGCGACAGGCAGATCAGGAGGCCACAGTCATCAGGGTGTGACAGAGCACGCCACGAAAGGGATGCGCTGTCTGGTTTTCGTGTCGACACCGGTTGCCCGGTTGCCCAAAATGCAACTGCAGGTGTTACGCAGCTACTACAAGCTGCCGCGTGCAGCACTGCATGGGTTCCCTCGGCTAAACTGAAATTCGGAGGTCTTCGGCTTCGCGAGGATTCACTTGTGCTTTGGTTCCTCGGGCCTTGCAGCCCTGCCCAGGCTCGTGGTTTCTGCCGAGCAGGAGATGTCTGTTCTAGGCGGGGGTTCAAGGTTCAATTCACTAGAATGCCGGAGATCAATGTCAGGCCAGTCAAGTCAGCGAGCATGCTATTTGAGATCGTCACTGCTTTGTTGTGGAGCCTCTTGTTGGGTGGACATGTCTGTGTCTAATGCATAGTTCGTGGTATAAACAGCCATGGGCCATGCACATGTATGAATTTAGGTGCATGGACCAATGGGTGAACACGCCCCGAAGCCCGCATGACATGCGAACGCTAAATCATGCACCCACCTGTAGCTGCAAATCAGCTTACAGAATGCGAATGTTCTGAATGAATGTGCTTGTCCACATGTGTACCCACATATATCAGAATCACGTATGTCGCCATGTGTCCGAACCTGTCCAACGCCGCAAATATTCGGAAAATGCCCTTGTTGATCTTTGTGCTCAACAGCAGGAGGCACAAGACGTGAGCCTGAGTGGGGCGCTATCTTGTACACACCAGTAAGCACACCTGGCAATATGTTGTGCCTACGTCTCGTCAGGCGAATCTTACGTGGACCCTCGGCTAGGGCCCTTTGCCGGATCCCCAGTTCCACTCCTGGTGTGCATGCCCTGTGCGACAGTAGAGGAAGTAACTCCGTACTGCCGGCAAAGCCGATGGGATGTGCGCAGCAGTCTTCATGCCGCAGCTTTAGCTGTCTGTTGTTTCACATGTAAACACAGCAGGTCTTTGTTTTGGAGGCATTTTTTAGGATTCTGCAAGTATGATGTGCAGTAACGAGCTTTCCCCATTGCCACGAGATCGAAATCGGGCACCACCAAAACAGCAAGCCTGTTTCCGTATTGCAGCTTAGAACCCAGCACAGCCACGGTCTGTGCCATGGCGACAATACCATTTGCTGGAAACTCCCAGGCCCAGCTGGATATCCAGACACCAGGTAGCCGTAGATTGCAGATAGATCAATGCTCAGCAAGACTGTAGATTGATATCAGCGCAGGCAGGTGCAGGCAGCAGACATGCCCCGCGTACCAGGATGAAGACGAAGCGCAGCTGCTTTTGCAGCTAGAATCTGGGAATCAGGCAGACCGAAACCAAGCATCTCGCCGGTGGCACATACCACTGGCTTTGGTCATCACACTGCTCCTTGGGTCAGTTGCATGGTTCCGGCACGCTCCTCTGGCGCACGGCGAAGCCAAGGGCCAGGACACTCCTGTGATTCAGGAATTTTCGAGCGGCCGCTTCTACGATCAGACGCAAGCAAACGAGGGTTTCAACGACTACGTCCCATGGTCAGATCCGGGGACTTGGGGCGAGGATCAGCAGAGGGGCGAAGAGACCACGCGGACGGGACGCCAGTCTGCATACCGCGGGTATGGCGACGGGGACGAAGCGTGGGATGGTTCATTCGCATCAGACGGAGACGGTGACCAGGTGGATACGTCTACCTCGGAGAGAGGTCGAGACGCTGCAGGCGCAGATTACACGTCACGGGACCAAGGCTTCGATGGAGGAGGGATGGAGGGAGACAGTGAGGGAGACATCTCTTGGGAATATTGGAACGGCTCACACCACGCAGAGGAAGAAAGTACAACGACTCCTGCGACGACCACTCATGTGACTACGGTACGTCCATCTGGCCCTCTGCCCGCCGTGCATACATACTCCAACAAGTATGCCTCAGACAATCCCTTGGGGATTCAGGTGCACCTTCGACCTGACTAAATCACAAGCTCGGTGGGTTGCAGGTTTTTTTTGGAGGGCCTAGGAGTTTTGCTAGGCTGTAAGCATGCATTTCTCCCCTGCAGATGTCCAGAGACGGTCGAGACAAGAGCTACTTCCTGATCCTTGGCGACTGGGGCAAGGCCGGAGGCCCTGGCAGCTGCCAGAAGGCGAGCCAAGCGCAAGCCCGCAAGCGCGGGGCCACTGTTTCAGTGTCTATGGAGGAAAGAGAGCCGGGGGGGGAGAGAGAGAACACGTGCAGAACAAAACAACGATTCCAGGAATGAAGTGGGGGACATGTGATTACGTTTGCTTCTCCTAACTTCGTTTCTGATTTGGTGTTGTGCCTTCACCACGAACACGACCTTGGTGGAGGCCGTGGCAGCCCATTTGCGAGCCTACGCCGAGAAGCAGGAGCTGCATATTGAGAAGGGGCTGTCACCGCAACCCCCCGCCCCCCCCCATAAGCAGTCTGTACATCAGAGAGACAGAGAGGCTTCCTGCCACGTCGCACTCACAACAGGCGCTGGGATACAAGAAGCTGTTGTTCATTGCGACAGTTGGGGACAACTTCTATTGGACTGGGGCAACTCCAGAGGCTTGGGATGCCGAGCCTTGGACTGCGAGCCGTGGCCTCGTCCGGTTTGTAGAGGGACAGACTTTGACAACGCACAGCCGGGTTGCAGGTTCAGCAGGTTTCGCAGTTCTAGATTCTAGATGCTTAGGATAGCCCGCTTGCGCGCAAGGTATGGTCCCAGCCCTACGGCATCCACGATCCTAACTCACCAGTTTACCAAGTTCCGTGGCTTTCTGTGCACCCTGGCTTTGGCGCAGTAGCTATGTGGGATAGTATGCTTGTGTGGTTTGCACAGTGGTACAAGACGCGAGGTATGGGAATCATGACTATGGAAACCATGATCCATATGCTTTCTGCCCGCACAAAGACGAATCAGATCAGAGAACTGTCATCGATGGACAGGCACAGCCACCGAAGAGGGTAAGATTTTAAAGCATTGTCCTCGAACACTTTCATGTCGATACCCCTGTCCAGGCATATGCAAGCCAGCAGCTGAACTCGGACAAGAATCCGAGCCGCCCTTGGGGCACCGAGTGTCTTGAATGCGAAACAATGCGAAAACAGCCAGAGCATCTGACATTTTTATCGTGCCGTGTCCAGCTTTTGGGTCGAGGATGTACTGGCTTCCAGATTACAACTATCACTACGCGATCCCCAGTGATGCCCACGCGGATGTGGAGGTCATCGCCGTGGACACCTCCGCTCGCCTCAACCCGGAAGACGTCGGTGGGAACCCGAGAGGCCGAGCCAAGGCTCCCTGGTGCTTAGGAGGGCATGGGGGGATGGATCCCTAGAATAGTCCCAAAATCTATCTATCTATATATATATATATATATACAAACATGTGTATATATATGGTGCAGCGCTGCTAGGCCCCCCCTCCCCCCCCACCCCATGGTATCCCCCCCTGGTGTGGGTTCCCCCCTGCCCGTCCCCCCTGTGGTTGCGGTCGGCTGCGCCCCCGTCCATGGTTATTGCTGGTTGGGCGTCCGGTTGCTAAGGGTTTGGACCGTAGGATGTGATACAGATCTATTGAACTCCGACCTGCCCTGAGCTCCAAAGCCAATGATAGTGATGAATATGATGGTGATGACGATGACGAAAATGGTGGTCATGATCCCCATCCACACTCTCCTCCGGTCCCTTGCTCAAAATTCCCGAATGAAAACCATTCAAAAACGTGCTCACGCTTACTTGTAGCGAACCCAACCGAAACTTGGCTTGGAATGACAACGGTCGATACAGTTTCCGCAAGAACATCACAAGCCAAGCACGGTTTCCAAGTAGACAAAGCAATGAACATGCGGTGCCGAAGCCCAGAGCAACATAAGAGCAAAGGTACCACCAACAGCCACACTGGGATTAGCACATCAACATCATTGTGCGCAACATTCTCATTTGTGTTCGAAGACAGGGGCAGGGAAGGCGGCCGGTGGTTCCCTGCGTGGATTATCCTTCCCCACCCCGCCTCTGTGGTTGGCCGTCTTGTGGTTCCACTGTTGTGGGTTATCCCTCCCGCCCCCCCCGTTGCCAAGGCGAGAGGCGGCGAGAGGCGAGGCCTGGCTTGGCGGGGGGAGAGTTACGTGGAGTGTGACTGTTTGATGGGACGAGACGCCTGGCTTTGGGGGGGGGGGGGGGGGGGGCATACCATGGGGGTGGGGGGGGGGGGCCTGCGACGCGGCGACGCGGCACCATATATATATATATATATATATATATACATATATATATATATATACATATATATATATATATATATATAGATAGTCCCAATAATAGTTCCCATAATCCATTCCCCCATTCCCTACTAAGAACCAGACAGAAGGCCGATGCCCTTTGCGGTGGTCGCTCTGTGGCCCAAAGCTTCCTCAACAAGACCTACGAAGCCGGTCGTCGGCTGGTGATCGAACGGGCGAAGAAGAACAAAGCTGGGACGGCTCCTCTCCAAAAACTTACACAAATTGATGGATGTTCTCTGCCGCCCAGAAGACGTCGAGTGCTTGTTGCAGTTTTGAGGTTCTGATCATCCAGCACTACCCTCACTTCTGCCCGAGGGACCTTTTCGAAGAATCCCTCCCAGCTTCACGCAAGGGCAAGGTCAAAGTGCTTTGCGCTTTGGCAGAACCCAGGACCTATAGCATGTAGAAGGACAGGCAGAACTCTGGGAGTTCCGACGAGAACCCTCTCAATCGTGAGCAGCAAAGGTGCATATGGACATGTCCATGACCAGAAGTGTGACAAGAAGGACCGGGATCGCCGGGATGCGGGCTAACTGCAATAGCTGAAGTGCTTCAAGGACGAATCTGGTATGTGTCTTGACATTCTGACTGGTGGCGGTGGTGGCTGCTGTGCCCAGGCTTGAACAAGTCATCGGTAAACATGTGGGCCGCAGCTTGCGGATTCAACTCCAAGGTGCTCCCTTGATTAACCGAGCCGGCTTCACAGCAGTGCACCTGGATTCAGTCACTTGGCCGCTTGAGCTTGCGCACCACCTGAACATCCACGTCGGCAATTAATTGGTCAAGCTGAACTTTCGGGCCCGTTGTCTTCATAGCATCGCCAGCTTTGTAGGAATGGTCCCTGGCTTTGAACTCCAGATGCAGGGCCACGGTCACGACTGTGCACTGCTTTTGTTGCCTCTTGGTCCCGAGGGCAGTGGCGTGGCAGCAGTGGACGTCGAGTCCCCGGAAGTGCGCCTGCCAGAGGGCAGTTGTGCATGGTAGATGCTGGAGCCTTCGGCTTCCGATAGCCGAACACCGCTAGATGTAGCATCCCATTAGTGATATCGTTGAATGCAGCAAGCGCGACATTCCAAGCATGCGTCTGATTCGAGATTAGACATGCCGGGTCAAGCCGTCCGATGGAAGCTAGAATGTCTCGCCAGTGCTTCTTATCCCCTGTGGGCACCCGGCCTTAAGGGCCCGCCCGGGCTTCAGAGTAAAGTAGAGCTAGACCCGCGCATTCATCGCGTGTGGCAAAAAGTCCGGGCCAGCATTCTGAAAGCCGTTCTTAGACGGGCCTTCTGGGCAACCAGCCGACTTAGTGCTCGGACTCGTAAGACGCTGTTTGGCTTAGATATCGCCTCATTGGCCGAGAGGCTTCCCTCGGAAACTTGATCTGATGCAGTTTCAAGCTATCAACATCTATCAACCTGCCTAGCGACCTCAGCGACACCTGTTTCACTGGATTTGACAGTCCGGCGTCTGCGGCCTAGGCCTCGGCCTTTAGGATCACAGTAGCTTACCCGCCTCGATGCGCAACAAGCGATTGCTGTTCAAAATATCAACCATTTCGTCTTTACTACTGGAAGCTCTCATGGAGACAGACCGATGGCCTCTCGCGCCTCTCGCCTGGTCGGCCGTCGATTAGGAAGGCGTGTGGGCATTCCCGGCAGTGCGACAGCACTGGTGCCCCTCCATGACTTAGTTTGCACATGCTGCCGAGAGTCACAGTCACAAGCTCATCCTGCGCCCGAGCATGCAAGATCCTTCAGCTCGAAGAGCCTTCAGCCTTTAACAATTGATAACAATTGCACCTGTCTGTGGTAGCTTGCAGCCAAAAGCGATTGACTGCCTGGGCCTCTCCCAGGAAATCAGGAGTCAGGCATCAAATTAAAGCAACGCTGAAACCTGGAGGGAATCCTGCCGAATGCTCCGCTAAGAAGCAAAAACCAACAGAGACGGCTAGTCGTCAAATGCTTTTGCTGTAGGCCACAGAAAGGTACAGGGACGGCCCCAATCTTCCTTGTTGACGCAATTTCGACGACCGCCACAAGCCCTCGCAACGACCCGGAGCCGAGGTGCTGGGTGCTGCGGCATCACGGCCTGGCGACAGTGACCCGGGCCGCGAGGTCAGGACGAATCGTTCAATCATGATCGAGAGACGTAGGGCATAGGGGTGCCACAAGGTGAGGCTCATGGAGCACTTGATGAACGTATGTTCGACCGTGGTCCAATAACCCCTAGCCAGGCACTTATCCATGAGGTCCTGATGCCGGGTCGCTTGCTCAGACGGCAGCAGCTTTCGCAAGGACCGAGGGCTGGGACTCATGCTTGACAGCATCTTGGATCTTACGATTGGGAGCTCCAAGCAGCGTGCATGTTGAAGATGCAGCTACGCTTTCTGATTCTGGACATGAGGGCTTAAGCTTGTGGCATGTGTGGCGATGTACGGACATGTGGCCCCGAAGGAGGCGAGCTCCAGGCGGCTGGGGATCTGGGAACGGGTGAGCCAGCATATTGATGCATCGACCACTCCTGGGTCATGGCGTTACGGCTTGGGGACTCAATGCTTTCGTCGTGCAATCCACGGTATGCGGTAATAGTGACTAGAGCTTGCGGACATGACTGCTTTGCCATGTGCCTGCGGACATGGTTGAGCCGGCTGTGTGACCCAATTTGATCCGATAGGTTTACACAAGCAAGCTCAGAGAAGCTCAGCGAGATGATGGCACATGTCAGTTCCGTGCACGCATGGTTTGTGCATCTATCCGCTGGCATGCCGAAACCTACGATCCGATCCGGTCGAAGGTTACAGCACACCGTGCCACTCCAGCAGGTGCGCTGCCGGCAGGTTGGATACAGGAGCCAAAAGCAATTAAATGCAATAGGCCGGCTAAGCTGTCACTGCACCTGCATTTGCTTGTATTGCCAATTTGGTGTTGACGGCAACTTCACTGCACCTACACATCGCACTATAAGCGTGTTGCCGTTAGTTTGATTTTCAAGTGTATGCATCGACAACTTCACTGCGGTGCGGAAAGACGGCGCTGCAACATGCAATCGTGTATTTGGGAGGAGTGGCGTGTTCTGCGCTTCATTCCCGAGAACCGGTCTTCCGACTTGATCCAGGCTTGTCTGAGTTTAGGGGGTCGAAGTTCGCAGGATCTCGGTCTGGGGAGGTGTTTACTGCTGTTGTTGATTAGTACAAGAGCGCTGCTTTGGCTATATGCATCACCGCGGCATTTCTGAGCATTCTCCTAAATTCTGAAGGCCATGCCCTGAAGTCTTTGATGCGTAATGCCCGAAGTGCCGCCTCTTTGGAGGCAATAAATCGAGTCTCGATCGACGAGTTCGGGAACCAGAAGCTCAGTAGCTGAGCAGGTAGCCTTGAAACTTTAACCTTTTTGTGTTTATATAACCTTACCATAATTGAAAAGGTTGACCTTTTCTGGGCCAGGGTACTCAGCCGCTGAGGAAGCAGCATGTTCGAAATTGCTTGCTCATGCCCTACACAAAGTCTGTGGCAAGTTCGGTCTTGGCAGCACTCGAGCTGGTTGCGGAACGGGCGCCCCCAACTGACGAGGAGCCTGAGCTTCGTATCCTGTGCGTCGGCTTTGGGGGCGGAAGCGTGCCAGCATTCCTAGCAGAAATGCTTCCTCACTGCCGGGTGGATGTGGTGGAGCTGGAGCCCGCTGTCCTTGAAGCAGCCGAGCCCATGGGCTTTGCGCCACATCCTCGGATCAATGTCTACCTGGACGATGGGGCCAAGTTTGTGCATGAGGCCGTGCACAGCACTGGCGGCCCGCTGGCAGGAATTGGAGCGTCGTTCTCAGTTATTTGGTGCCAGTCGGGTATGCGAGAATGTGAGCACTTCACTCACTCGAGATGCATCTACATACCCTACAGGATAGTCACGGCGCCTCATGGACGAATCTCTTCATCCAGCTGAGGACCACACCAAGGATTGTACGACGCATTGGTCATCGACGCCTACGATGTAGAAGGCAACGTGCCTTCTGCTTTCACTTCTGCAGGCTCCAGCTTCTCTACTGCAACTTGGCAACGCAACTTCTCCGGCTCGATCACACAGACTTCGATCTGCTCTCACCTGACTTGGGATTGCTGGGCGTCTGCTCGTGTTGGCCGTTGGCTTCACTTCGCATCGCGGGGGCGAGCTTGAAGTTTCAGATCCTGTTTGCTCCGACAGCCTTCGTATTGCTTTGGGGGATCTTCGAACCAGGTGGGTAAGGAAGTGTGGGTGCCGAAGGCTGCTCGCCCGACCACCACGAGGTTGTTGGATAAACTTGTGTGACAGTGTGGCCTGGGTTGAGGCCAAGCACGTGCTCCGAGGCACTTGCCAAAGGGGTCCTTCGTCCTCGAGGCGTCATGGTGACAAATCTGCGTTTCGACTGAAGTTTTGGTGCCAGGGATGAGCTTAGAGTGGTTGGTTTATGTTGCGTAGATTCCTTCCGAATCTGCCCATCTAGCCGAACCTAGCCTAGTGGCTTATGTTGATGCAACAGAAACTCTGCTCAGTGAGGTTGCCGTCTGCACCGTTGGGTCAGATCTTGCAGGATCAAGCCCAGGCTCCCTGAGTTGCTGTTACGTGCGCATGTCCAGACATACTGACATACCATGACATGCTTACGCTTACGCAGACAAGTAGCAATACGTATACACACACATCTCATGCACAAGAGATTGCAATAGTAGGTGTTTCCCACCCTTATCCCTTTTATTCTTCATGGTGTTCAGCATCGAGATGTTCATCAACAATTGGCAGGGCTGCCATCCAACTTAGGGCGTAAATAAATGCTTCTGACGCCTGATGCCCAGGGCAAGGGTGTTGAAAACCTGCAGATCGCGGTCTTGTTGCATTCTCTCGCGAGAGGCAATGTGCTCACGGGGCGACTGCTTGTCCTTCGGCATTGAGGCAGAAGGATCAGGCGACCGTGGTCGTGGTAAAATGATTTCGACATGACGGTCGCGACAGTTGTTGTTAAGCTTCAACTCGTTTGTTTAAGTGAAGTCTTCGAAGCTTGCGAAAGAATCCTCAGCTCACCCTCACTCACGAACCCTTTCCCGAATCTCCGACAAGACGCTCTGCAAAGTCTGCCTCGCTCCTGTCTCACAGGCAATCTCTTGGCTCTGCATGCTTCTGGGGCTCCGATTCGGTCTGGCAGCCAGCGGCAGCGGAAGGATCTTCCCTGCACTTCGTGTCGCTATGCATAGCTTCTGCCCAGATGTGATGAGCTTTTTTTTGAGGGGGGGGGGGGGCAGAGAAGAGACTGTGACTAGACCTCAACAGCCTGTGATGCCCACGCTCAGAGCAAAGCCGCAGGCGGAGCTTTTCCTTCGGCTTTGGCTCGCTGCAAGGTCCAACGACAAGTGCACTTGTCACTTGTCGCTTCTTTCTTTTTGTGGGCGGTGTTTAGATGAACCGCAGGTCGGCACAGAAAGCGACTGGGTGTCCCTTCAGCAGCTTGCCGCGGAAACACTTCAGAAGCTGAGCGAGAGGGGCGCTTTGTCACGGTGTTTATCGTGGTAGTAGCATCAGCTCGCCAATTGTGCCTTGTCTGATAGTACCGTCGAGGCATCGGGCGGCTGGCGACGCGAAGAATCCGCAATTTGCAGAGCTGTCCAAAAAAAAGGACCTTTTGAGGTTGCTCGAGAGCTGTGGCTTGTGGAAGTGTGGCTGCGAGCCGCAAACGTTTCGACTCCAAGCCTTGGTCTGAGGCTCGCTGGGAGGACGGCGGTGAGCTTGAGACCACTTGTGACGAGCTGGGAACGCTGCGGCCTTTGGAAGTAGGCAACACTCGCTGGGGAACAGCAACTCCGATCCGTCGAAACTCCTCCAGTTGGAGCAGAGTATGAGGCCGTGTGGTTCCTTGCATTGCAGGCATGCCGGTGGGGACTATTCTGAGGTTTCCGCATTGGTACGAGATCGGAACTGGAGAGTTTGGCACCCGGTACGGGAGAGAACATGCTTTGCATCGTGAACGGCTGCCAGTGCAATCTACTCCCGAGTCGTCCTGATGGCTGGTCGGCACGCTACCGCTGTGCTATGCAGTGCTGAACCCTCATACCGCATCTCATATGTCCTCCCTACCCCTCGCGATTGTCCAAGATGCCGCGCTGGGCATGCTGACAGGCCCGTTGAAGAGCCTCCACATCAGGAGTTTCACACATGCAGCTCGGAGGACGGTGGCCCGGACGGCACAGCATCAAAGTAATGTCGGAGTTGTTTGCCGGTCCTGGTTTCGCATGGCGAAAGAAGGCCCAGCTAGACAGGCTACAGCTGCACTCGACCAAGAGGTACCTGTGTGAACAACGTGATGAGCATCTTTGCCGGCTCGTGCACATGGCCGTCAGCTTGATTTTTGGTTAGTGCACTTGGGCACGTAGAACCACCGTTGTTACACAGACAGAGGTAGCCGCATGTAGCTACATAGACTTGCCCTACAGCCACTGAGGTGGTTTCGGCAAGACGGCCAGTGTCACTGCTTGAAGCTGACATGCGACAGCTCTGTCCTCAGCAATTGCAAACGGCAAGCCGGCGAACTAGCCTGGCCTTATCGTACGACGCTTCCTCTCCTTACAATTGTGTTCGTTTGTGGCGGACATGTCTTGCGTCTCAGTGAATGGAAGAAGGCCTCACGGCTCAAGGGAGAGCGATCTGATAGCCCCCTAACCTTTCTGCAGAAGTGATTTCTGCTGCCGCAACCAAGTGGAGGGGGCTGCTATGGCAATGAAAGGCTCACAAGGGGTGAAATACACGGCCAGAGCTGCACTGCGATGTCCTCATGATGGTCCTAGTGATCCTCCTGAATCTAGAAGCACGGAAAGCCTGTGCCTCCATGCTGCTCAGGCATCCCCGTCAGAACCATGGAAAACAGGCAACGCACGATCCATGCAGGGGCAGGCAAGGGCAAGCGGCCGCCACCTGCAGCCAAATCTACGGCACGGAGACCGGCGAACAAGTCCTGGCCCAAGGCTGGCGAGCAGCGAGCCGAGGGTTGGATAGATTGAGGAGGTTCATCATATGAGGACATATGAGGTTTGCTGGTTTGCATTGCATTGCACAGTTGCCTATGGTGTGTACTAGTGTACTACAGCAGTAGCTCAGTGGCATCATCTGGCATGTGTGCAAGTATCAAATCCGACCTAGTGGTGTTTCCTCGAGAGGCCCCTTGAGCCCAAGGCCACACTGCCTACGGACTTGGTCGAAGCAGCTGCCGTTTCCAGGTCCAAACTTACACCGTGCCAGAGCAGCCCAAAGCAACAGCTATGGACGTCGACACGTTGGAGGCCAGGGCTGGCCTAGGTTGGGAAGGCTTGCATTCGCTTTTGGCGAGTGTGGTGATGGGGAGTTGCATTCGAGCGCGGGTTGCAATCGCATGCCAACTCCTGCTGACACTGGCACTGTCATGGCACCGTTTGCAATGTTGTACTGCGCATGCGAAGCCGCGAACGTAGAAGTAGCTGCGCAGAGGTTGCTTTTGCGATCCTTTGCCGGGCTGAGTCTGAGGGACTGTTGCACAGGAGCCGTTCCACAAGAAGCGCTTGGTCTTTGAGGCCTACGCCTACTGTTCAGCCTGGTTACACGTGTAGCATGCATCGTCCTAAACCATCCGGTCGACCTGCACAGCGCTGCCAAGGCTGGCCGGTAGCATTGTCATGTTTCTTCGGGAGGCGCGAAGCTGGGCGGAAAGCCTCGCACATGGGCCGAGGCTTGGGCGTTTCTGCATCTGGCAGAAGTGTAGAAGGCAGAGGCAGCAGGGCTTTGGGTGTCTGCAAGTCCCAGGAACACAAACCTTCCGGCCTCGGAGATGCTGCGCGGCTTGGGCCCGGAGGACGCGAAGGCAAAGGAGATGAAAGCGATGTTGCGTGGCAGCTTCGCCAGGAGGACGAGATGCAGGATTGGCTTGCAAGCAGCTCGCCTGGAGTTCCTTACAGCTTGGATTTTGAAGCAGAGCCTGCCAGGGGAGTTGACATGCATTTGTCTTCCATTCCACGTGCCGCAATGGATGGAATCAAGTTGTGAGGCCTGCGGGGATCTTCCCAAGTGCCGGGCTGGGTGCAGCGGCCGGTCTTGGAGGATGTCGAGGTTCACGTGCTGCGCTTGTCAGGACATCAGGGTAGATGTCGCTCGGGAGTGCAAGCCTTAATGCTGTAGTGATGCCCCACCCGAGGCATGGTTTTTGAACAGCCACAAGCCAGCCGTAGCGTTTGTGCGTTTGCTGGAGGAAACACTCTTAATTTCAGCGTGGCATCTACAGAGACGACACGAGACCTCAAGCAGAGTTGCTCAGCAGATTTAAGAAGATTTGAGGGCACCAGACCCGGATGAATGAGTGACGGCTAGGGAGCCATCCCAGCTGGTTCACCATGTCTTTTGCCAATGGCGAGCGGAGCACACTGGCACCAGCTAAGGAATTGAACTTGAGACTGGAGTGCCACTGGATTGGCAAGTGCTTCTACTTCAAGGCATTCCTGTGCTCGATTCGGGTGTAATGCGATTTGAGGGGAGTCGAAATTCATGACGATGTTTGCATCGAAATGCAAAACGATGCCTGGGCTTCTGATATCTTCTGATGGCTTTGAGGTGATGACGGTGCGACCATCGAGCTTATGGACGACCTTCCTGTGGGTCCATACTGCGATGGAACAGAGCTTAAGTTGATCCTTCAGGTTTTCCAGTGTCGAGACATTTGCCTGGCAGCTGCCGACGGCGCAGGGAAGTATGGGGCGATGTTGCAGCTCTTGCAATTCGGTAGTGATCTGGCCTGTTGCTACATCGGGGCCTTGAGTTTCCAGGATACCAGCTTGAGAGACTTGGCCCTTCAGCTGTTGTTGAAGGGCTTACCAGCCGCGGAAGCAACTCGATTGCTGGCCCGGGCCTTGATTTCTGGGGACGAGGAGCTGCAGTGCAAGGCTGCCATGGCCATTGCACGATGGTTTTATTCAGACCGCGCAAGCCTCTCCGACTCCCTCTCCCTGCAAGAGGTTTCAGCAGAGGAGACCTCGCTCCTGCAGGGTCTCCTTGAGCACCTGGAGCGGCGCAGCAAACTGCCCACAAGGGGACGGCCATGGGAAGGTGGACGAGCCATCTTCGTCAACGATGCCTTGACCGCCGCGAGGGGTGCGCTGGGCGGCTACTTCGCCAGAGCTCGCAGGCTGAAGCCTGGATGGATGTATCGGCAGCTGATAGCCGTGAGCGGATTGGAGACTTTGGAATCCACAGAATTGCCACAAGTGGCTGCTGAACGAGGTGTTTCGCTGGCAAAGCTGAAGGCATGCCTGGAATTCAAGTGGGTGAACAAGAGCGGCGGCCTTCTCTGTGCAGCAGTGCCTGAGCCGATGTTTGTGAGAGCAACTCGTCGAACTGATTGAGAAGAGTTCCAGCCTTTCGCAGGTCACATCCTAAGAAGGACATGCAGCATTTGCTGGCTTCAATAGTTGCAGCCGCACTGTGCGCGATCCATGTACGGTGACATAGCTGCGGAAGTTACCAGTGCCCAACCTGCATCTTGTACTGCGCTTGAAGATGCTCTGCACTTACAATACATGAATCTGACACAGACCAGACGGGACTCGTAGATTGTCAACCTTTTTTGACCTTTGCCAAGGTTAGCATCACAAATGTCTCGGCTTTTCTCCGAACGGACACTGACACCGGCATGGCTGAGGAAGAGGATGCAGACTTGTGGCAACCCAGTCGCATTGGAAGCTACCGAGTAGCAGCCACTGTCACTGTAGGCGTCAAGCTCTGGAGTGGCACGTCTTGTGTGTGCTGGCATGTCTTGGAATTCGGGGGGCGTTTGACCAGGGCCGCCGTAGCAGAGCTCCCAAGCCTTCCAGCCGAGCACACGCGTCTGGCATTGGAATGCGCAACATTGGCAGCAGGTGCATCTGCAGCAGGGCAGAAACACAGACGGATCGACATACGTCATTGCATCGAATGACGTAAGTAATCTTCTGCCCTCAATGTCCGAGACGGCGCTGCTCGACTTGTGCTGTAAATCCAATCCTGCTATGGTCGTCGACAGGGCCCGGACATCGCCGTACGCTGGAGGCGGCTTGCTGGCAGGCTGGGCACGAAGACGCTGCGGTCCGCGAGCAGGCCATGGAGGCAGAGCCGTTTGCGTGGGAAGTATAGTAAGATGACAATACATTCTCATCCCAGCGAGTTTGGTGTTTTTTGTGGCCATGGTTTGCTTCTTCGGAGTTGCAACAGGCAGCGAATTTCGCTTGGTCTTGATGCGTTTCCAACCGCACCCGCTAGACCAACTCCCCGCTTACTACGCCGACTGCTTTGCAGGCAATCCAGCAGTTGGCGGAGGCACTTGCATTGGAAGCCATCGATGGTGCGTGGCGTGTGTTGCTCCATGCTTGTGCAGTGCGTCAGAGTGTCGCGGAGTGAGTGAGTGAGGAAGCTTGCAGTCAACAGGCAAATCTTAAGGACTTGCGAAGTCCCGTCACTTGCTGCAGGCCTCTGACTTGAGCGGCATCCATGCGCTGATGGATACATGGTGGGGTACTGATGCCCACGTGCAAAGGATCCGGCGTGAGGTTGATCGTTTTTTCCGAGCTAGACTGGAAATGTCTGGAACGCAACCAGTTGAGCCTGTAGTTCGACAATGACTGATGACTAATGATCGATGTGCCGCTTGCAGATGTGGCCATTCCTGGACCGTGTCAAGCTGCGGTATGAGCGATTTGCGGGTGAAAGGAAATGTGAGGTGGAATCGCAAATACTGACATTGATGGTCAACTGCCAAATCACTCTCTGGACTGCAGAGACATGGACTCAAGGTGTTTGTCACTGTACAGACCACACATTGCTGTACAGATTCGCCTGGTGGGCAAGATGTGGAGAAGCCTGTCTTTGATGTTGAGCTCATAGAGCCTCTCGAATTCCCTGGCTCGGAAACTTAGCACACGGCTGGCAGCCCACGACGACTGCGAGTGGATGAAATATCCCGGCGATTGGGCGTCGGGGTGGAGCTTAATTACAATGGCTGGAAGAAACTTCCAAATCGGACCCCAAACCTTGTGAGGTCAGTCAGGCTGGAGGGCACCTGGCTCAGCTTTTTGCAAAAGTATTGGTCAAGTGCAGGATAGCTGTAGTAGAGAGCCTCAGGTTGTGTTTCGTGGAGACCTTCATTGTGCCTACCGCTCCCGTCTGAGATCTCTCTGGGCTATGAAGGGTTGGCATGTTCAGCCACTTCCGTGACAAAGGTATCAAACACCCAGTGATTTGAAGACACCGTTCCAACAAGTTATCTCTTTGATGTTGGTGAGGCTTCTCGAAGAAAAGCAGGCGCTACAACGTCAGGAGCAGCGTCAAATATTGCAGCCGGCTTTTTGTGTTGGAGTCAAAGCACTGCCGGAGGTGCTTACATCAAGCGATCGGCCCTGCCAAGTGGTGTGCAGCTCAGTGCAGATGCCATGCCGGGCGATGTCCGCCTTGCCCTGCACTCGGTCAGTGGAACCGCTCTTAAGTTCTTGGATTCTTTCTGCCGCCATCATCGTCAGAAGCATAATCGTTTGCAATGGTGCTCACTGCTTTCCGCTTCGTTGACGTGACTGTGTTTTGCAGGAGACTCTGCACTTCAGATGTGCCAAGTCCACCCTACTGGCCGTGAAGGTCGACTGTGCGGCAGCAAAGGGCAGAAGAAACTTGTTCTGAGGGATCCGGTTTGAAGCAGTTCTCAAGATGCGGTTTTGCTTCCACTGCACCATACCCCAACCTCTTGAATGGCTCTGACCAGACGCATGTCCAAGAGCTTCTCCGCGCCAGATCCTTGCATGTTAAGTGTTGGATTGCAGATCACAGGCCGTCGGCTGCTGTCGGCTGAGCTTCGGACCCGGCGCTCAACAGAAAAAGAGGGGAACTGCGAGGACTGGTGGAGCGATGGGTGGTCAATCCATCAGTCAGGCCCTGACCATGACGACTCGGAAAGCTATGATGAAGGGGTCGTGATGATCTTCATCGCATTGGCGATTCAGTGATGGATGGGGATCGTGATGACGAGGAGAAACAACCAAGACTCGTCAGAGCAGGAAGAACAAGGAAGCAGAGCTGTGTGTAGTAAGCAGCATAACAGGAAAAGCAACAAGTAGGAAAACGCTGCCGCTACTGGTCATCAAGGTCGACATGGACCAGAGTGGTGGTGAGATTACTGGTAAAGGTATATGATACGGCAACAGCAGCAATAAATTAAATGCTAACTGCTAACGCATCTCTGCGACGACAACAGCCATAGGAGTGGTCGAAGCCGCATAGTGCTGACAGTAGACAGAAGTGCCACATGACCATGGGGGGTCTTTCGGGCTTTTGGCTCTTTGTGGGCTATGGCATGGCAGGCCAGGATGAGTTAGCAGCATGTCCGATGCTTGGTTTCGGACCAAGGAGTGTGTAGGAAAAAGAAGCCAACGACCTGAGCACCAGTCGCCCCCCTCCACGCGAGCCTGGCTTTGAAAGACATGACAAAGCAAACCATGTAACACACTTTAAGCACACGCACCGTTGCACAGCCGCCAGTTTCTATCCCCATTACAGCATTCGATCTGCCAATTCCTTTCGCCTGCCCCCAGCTGCCATGTTAGAGGAAGACAACGAACAGGAGGACAGAGCGCTGAGATTGTTCGGCGTAGTCATTTTCCAAGCAACGGAGCGCTTGGGCCGTGGGTTAGCCCTAAGTCCCACAAACCACCCTGCCGGAGCGTCCGAAGCTCCTCGCCTCCTGCCGTGCTACTGGTAGGTGTGGGAAGAAGACGCGGGCAGCGACGGCGAGCAAGGCGAGGGAGGACTGGCCGTGTTCTCCGAAGGAGACGTTGAGCCAGACTCCAACGAAGTTTCCTTGGCAAGTCTTGGCTTAGCTCCTCGGCTTTATTCGGATCTCAGCATGCAGTCTTCAGAGCCGAGTCCGAGCCATTTTGCCCTTCTCGCCCGCACGGGTGTCCCTCCAGAAAACCTTGCGAATAGAAGTGAATCTGTTCACACCATTGCTGCCCAACCTGCGAACCTCAGGAAAAGTATGCCGCAGTGGACGACTCTTCTTTCGATGACTTTGAACTACCAGAGATCATCGCAACAGATGCTGCTTGTCGCCAAGCGATTCCGGGCTGTTGAATAGGGTTTCGAGTACATGTAGACAGGCAGAAGTTGATGGGCTCCAAACTCAGTGCATCGTTGGTCCCAAGCTCGTTTATACTCATGTCAACTTGAGAAAACATTTGCATCCTATGCTCCAGGACTCCCGGAGCCTTAGCACGCAGAGCAAGGGCTTTGGCTTTTAAATTATGGATTCCTGTGCTCAGGTCCAGGAGGCCTGGAATGCCTTTTGTGGCGAGTTTGAGTCCCGCGAAGCAGCCGGGGAAATGCATCTCGGCAGAAGTTCACTGCTGATACCATGCCAGGACGCAGGCATGGCGAAGCTTGTGGTAGCAAGGCTTTTCTGAACTGAAAGCGGAGAGCGTGTCAGCTCGACCAGGTTTTTCACATCGCTGTTCGATGCAGCACCAAGCCTGCAGCTTTTGTTCAAGAGTCCCAAAGCTGTAGTGGTGGCTTGTCTGCACTGCGGTTAGATTTCTTGCTGGCGGTTGCTGTCGTATCACTTCCATTAGTCATACCTCTCCACCGCTCGAAACTGAGGCCATGCGATTCATGATCGGCATCAGTAGCATCATTGCTTGCTGCTCGCAAAAGGTGCAGCTGAAAAAGGAGATCGAAGCCAGGCTTTTCCTAGCATTGGTTTTGGTACCGTGCTTCAGACAGCTTTCTACGGCTTGGGTCGAAGCATGTGGCTCTTTTGCTGTCGACTGCACCCAGGAAGCCCAAGGATTTCGGCACTTGGAGATCGATGTCACGAGCCCCTGAGAGTAAAATCGGGGCGGGTGGCGGGTGTTGGGGCCGCCCTTTTGGGCCTTGAAGTGTTTTAGGGAGCGTTTCGAGTCCTGTTGTGCTGGGGATTCGAACTGCCGACCTTTGAATGCTAGGATCCGACAGGGTGAAAAACAAAGACAGACGGCTCTTTCCGCTGACAGCAATACATCCGTCACTGCCAGAAAAGGTGTTCTTCGTCGCACGTCCACGCATCAAATTCTGTGTATGCGAAGCGTCTCGAGGCGCACCAAAACACCGGTGCAGCAACTGCATGCCTCAAAAAGGATCGGAAAGAAGCCCAGCCAAGCAACTCGCGAAGCAGACGATGGCTGCCAGCTGATATTGTTGCCAAGGTGTGCGAGTGGACTTCTTCCGAGAGGCTTTTCTGGAGCTGCTGGAGGAGTCAGCTTCCACTCGCTTCCAGAATGAGTTCAGCGGAATGCGGCTGATCTTCACCTGCAGGAGATGCTAGGAGCCCGCTTCAACAGCAACTGCCGCGCGGGTTTCCAAACGCTGATAAATTACGCAGGCCAGATGTCGCTGTGAAATGTGCACACCCAGGGAATCAAACGCGCCAGCGTCTAAAGACCTGTCAACAGCATGTCTGTGTAGGCGAGCATTCCGTGTGTCTTGCGAGCTACAGGCGGTGCTTTCATCTACATCCGCAGGGAGTACGCAGGGCGCATCAGCTTGCTGCCCGGCCGGCACATCAGATGCTTCAGTGAGCGTTGCCTCAGAACCGTCCGAAGAAGGCAGCCAGCACTCCGGTCTGGTTCAGTCTGCTCCAGGCTGTTTGTATACTTGTTCTGTTTTCAATTCTGTGTTCGGTAACCTGCCTTGACTGTCGGATACATTGGCTCCATTGGGGAAGCAATCTTAATTTTGTCGCAGGACTTGTCATCAGGAGTGGGTTTGACCGAGTTGCCACACCATGTGAAATCAGAGCACAGAATGGTGGTGTGAAAGCTGAGGATCCTGCGAAGTTGGAACTTCGCATCCAAGGGGTCGAGCGATGCAGAGGCGCCGCCAGGAAAGTAGGACTCAGTAGGAGGGTGACGAGTTCCTTTTGCACATCCTCGAGTGCATGAACACATATCACCCGGCGAAGGTCATGGTAGCAGACGAGGACATTGCAAGGGCGATGATGGCTTAGAGTTGTAGCATGGGCTCGAGCAGATGTTTGCTGCATCACTGCAGTCCCCACAGCGTCTTCAAGAGTCGGTGGCCCTGGTGTTTTTTTGCATTCAGTTCCGTTTCATCGTTGGCGGTGCGGCAGGAGCCAGAGGAAGGTGCAGAAGAAGAGGGCGACAAGGAGAAAGAGACGAATGCGAACGAAGTAAAGCAAGACACCAACGTGAAGACCACGAAGGTCGAGCTTTTCGACATCTGCTTGGAGCAGAATCCTCATGCCATCTCATGCCACCTCACAAGCAGGCCTGCAGTTGAGACCACTGCCAGGCCTCGAACCAGTCTGGCGCGCGCAGCTCCGGAGAGCCAGGTGATGGTCAGAGACTTCACTGAAAATTTGGATGTACCGGACGGATGTTTGACGATCCATATGCCCTGCAATGCCATGCTGTGCAAGGATGAAGGTGCCCACGACATTCAACGAGATGGTGCTTTTCAATGCATCCGTGATGGGCTTCGGCGCAAACACGTGCGCACTGCGTGCTTGGTGAGAAGCCGAAATGTCCAGTCTGCCGCAACCGCACCGGCGGCCAGGTGGATGAACATCATCTTGGCTCAGTTTGAC